GGGGCTAGTTACATACTACTTGTAATATACACGCACACACATAGATAAACACAGTAAATTTTCAGAAAAACACACACACACACTCATAGGTCTTATTTCGTTAGTATACATATAAACACAACACCTTTCTACCCCACCCAACTCCCCTCAAACTGATCGAAAAATAAATGGAAAATGTGTTAGCTGGCAAAAAAAAAGAAGTGGAGCCCACTCTGCCACCGAGAAAAGCGTGTCATTCTTCGCCGTACATCTATTTATGCAAGGTGTGCTGTGCGAACCCAGCGTTGGATCAATCCAATACACATAAACACCTAATGTTACGCGGGCAGTAGCAGCAGCAACAGCAACTTATGCGTTTGCGTTTGACGTTGTCGCTGTTACACATTTTGAATTTTAATAAAGTTGTTAAAGTAACGTCGTGCACCCATCTATCCAAACAACCAAACATCCATCCATCCATCTATCCATTCAGTCATTTTGCCATTCAGGTAGTCCGACCGTCCGTCTGTCAGTCAGTCAGTCAACCCAGCCTGCCATCATCTTCTTCTCTCCATTCATTCAAGCATACCGTCTGTCGTCTATGTGCTTAAATGCGGTTATTACTTCATACAGCAAACAGCTGCTGCTTGTTGGGGTTGTGCTGTTGTTTGTTGCCGTTGCTGCTGGTGTTGAAGCATGAGGTGCTATGGTTTATGTCACACGGCTGATAGTGGACAGTGGTTTTTCATAGTGTAATAAAAAAATGGCTTGAAATTACTTAATCTAAGTAATGGCGGGTATGTTGCGCCGATTGCCCATCTTTATAGGGAGTTACATAAGAATTTACATTTTAAGTATAATGAACATAGGGGATCTGTAACTACTGAAAAGCGTTAATAAAACTTATTAACTCAAGCATTGCCTCATAAAAACGGAAAATGTACAATTTCGAAGTTACTATATTTTTTTTTTTTTTGGAATTCATACTTAAACCTTTAAGGTATTTTAAGGTATATCCGAAAGCTTATCTAAAATAATATGTATGTATAATATGTATTTTTTCCACAATCATCAAAATACCGAATATAAGGAGAACTCTTTTATAAAGGCTATCGAAATAATGGAGAAGTGAGGGTATTTATTACGAAATACCAAATTTTACACCATTCCGTTTTAAAATGTGGCCAAAATCATCGAAATGCAAAACATCGGAAGGTAACGTTCTATTGTGGCCAAAAGATATTTGATCTGTTCCCGAACCTGCAAGAATCTACCAGTTGTGCAATTTTTTTACCCTCCACAATACTATGGAGGGTATATTAACTTTATAATTCCGTTTGTAACTCCTCAAAATACTCATGTCAGACCCAACAAAGTATATACATTTTTGATCAGCGTAAAATTCTAAGTCTATCTGTCTGTCTGTGTGTTGTAATCACGCTATCTTTCGAACGAATTGAGATAGAAGGCTAAAAATTTGCACACATGTTGATTTTGCCAGTAGGCAGGTTAAGCTCGTAAATGGGCCATGCAGGTCCACGTTTTCATATGGCCTCCATATAATGGTACCTCCCAATATTCGACAATTTGATGATTTTTACGACACAATTCACCGGAATTGTTTCAAATTTGGTATTTGAAGTTCGTAATAGATACTACAGCCCATGATAGAAAATTGGCTGTGCTTGTTCACCTTTGTAGGTCCACGTCGTATAGACCCCAATATAACGGCTGTATTCGGAATTTTTAAGATTTTAACAGATTTTTTGACGTATATTATTTTTTGAAAATGTCCAGATTCGTTTAAAATGGTGTGGGGCATTCAAAGTTAAGCCCGGCCGAACTTACTGCATTTTAACTTTTTTTGGTTTCATAAAGGGAAAATCGGTTATCGAAGTACAAACATATACATTCTTGTAGTTCTGGAACGAACCAAAAGTCGGCCTATAACGATATTTTTTTTCCAGCAGAGACGATGCCCATTATAAACTTAAAGTGCGACATTTTCAACAGTTCAAAATTCAGAATATTACGAGCAGTCTCTATAGAGGCTTTACGAAACCATGAACTTTTAGAGGACATTTTCTGTCTAAAGAGATAAAGAAATGTTTCCGAAATAATCATCCACCTTTCACGGACATGAATTAACAAATTCGAGCTCAATCTGTTGCAATGCCGAACTTGACCTTCAAAATATCAATATTTGAGGATACCGTTACAATGATGTAGCTTGGATGACCACCTCCGGAGTGGTAAATCTATATATTTAAGGGTAGTAAAATAACTGAATGAATGACTGACTGAGAATCAACTCCCAGACAAAACCACTGAAGCTAGAATCTTGAAACTGTGCCCGATGGTCATTCTTGGTGCGTAGGCGTGTAAAATGACTGAGTATTTGGGAATGTGTACTAAAAAGATACGAAAAGTACTAAAATGTACTAAAAATTAAATACTTTTATTGGCCAAAGGTAATGCGTTAAAATTCTGAAATTTAGAATGAGAGTCACTGATGGAGAGCGGGATAGACGTTTCAAAGGGTTTTTGGAAATTCGAACTCTAGGGTTACGAAAAGTTCTAAGATGGTACTAAACGAAATTTCAAAATGGTACTAAACTTTGAAAATGGTACCATTTGGTATTATGTCAATGGATAGAGCTAAAAATTCTGAAATTTGGTGTGAGAATCAAGGTTGGAAATAAAGTTTGATATATGAAAGTGGTTTAGGAAATGTGTACCAAGTGTGAGAACGGTACTAAACGGTACTAAATGGTACTATATGTGAATAATTCTGAAATTATTTATATGGATTACTGATGGTACCTGTGTTTGAGATTTAGAGGTGGTTTGGAAATGTGTCTTTTATTTGTACGAAAAGTACTAAATAGTACTAAATTTGGTATTGGGTGAAGTTATAGGGCTGGAATGCCGAAATTTGATTTTGAGGTCTCTGTTGGTATCTGGAATTGAGATTTGAAGGTGGTTTTGGTAATGTGTATATCGTACGAAAATTATTAAATAATACTAAATTGGGTATTGGGTAAAGGGATAGTGCTGGCATTTTCAAATTTTATATTGAGGTCTCTGTTGTTATCTAGTATTGAGATATGATGGTTGTTTTGAAAATGTGTACTATAAATGAGCGAAAAGTACTAAATGGTACTTAATTTGGTATTGGGTGAATATGATAAATGAGTATTTGCACTGGAGGTAGGTGGTCTTGGAGATATGTGGTAGAATTGTTCGAATGGAACTAAATTTGGTATTGGGTCTCTGTTAGTATCTGGGATTATGATATGGAGATTTTTGTTTTCGAAAAGTACTATGTTTGATATTGGTTGAATGAATAGAGCTGAAGTTTGATATAAATATCACCGTTGGTGTCTGGAATTGAAATTCGTGGCGGTTTCGAAAATGTATACTAAAATTCTTCGAAAAGTACTTAGTTGTACTAAATTGGGAATTAAATGAAAGGGTAGGGCTGCTGCTTGTTTTGCAAATGCGTACAATAATTGTGCAAAAAGTACTAAATTTGGACCACTGTTGGTTTAGATTGTTTTGTTTTGCGTACCAAATGTTACTAAATTTGATATAGGAATAGATCTGAAATCCTGAAATTTGATTTTGAGGTCACTGGTGGTTTCTAGGGTTTAAATATGGGGACGGTGAAATATTCTTGGACCCGAAACAATTGGATGTGTGTCCATTGTGCAATAGTTTTACTAATATCGTCCTCGGTAAATTTTAAAATGAAATGCCTAAGGTGGACTTTTCTGAGCCTAAGGTAGACTTTTCGCTGACGAATTAGCGGACACTTTCCAGCTTGGATGCCGCTATAGGGGTCTTATGTCAAAACTTTGTTGGTGACCTTTAAAATACCTAGTATTGGGTCGTAAGGCTTAATGGGATCTACAACAACTAGTGGACAACTATTGACTTTTTTGGAGGGGGGAGGGATTACATCCTCAGAAAACAGCTAATTTAATTAAAAGAGGGGCTAAGGATTTCTGAGAACCCATAATAACAAATTACGCCTACTTCAGTAGAAAATTAATTTTTGTATTCCACAATTTCACCAGCCAATTAACCACAGTAGCCATCCAGCTACCTCACCATTATATTTTCCTTTTTCGGAGGAAAAAAGAGTTTGATATGATTTTGACTGTCTGTCATAATGTCTACCTACCCACGAAATGTTTACAACTCAGTTTGGAGGCTTCTCATATGTTTTTGCTTGTAATGAAATGAAATGAATGAACGAACGAATGACTTGAAGCTTTCTACCTGTGTACGGGTACAACAGCGCGGTTTCCAATATTGTCAGCCGAATATGTACATATGTACATGTGTGTTGTGACTCAGAAAATGTTGCGAGTGACGCTTGTGACAAGCTAAAGCCATACTGGAGAACAAAACTGAAAAGCCCCAGTTCCGATATTGGTCCCACAGTTTTACAATAACGCTGAGAACACGTAGTACGGTTGCAAATAATGACAACGCTACCATCAACTACAACAATGATGTTCGGTGTATCATATGTTAAACTTTCGTTGTAATACGAAGAAGAAGGACAACAACAATGTCACATTACCCCTTTCGCTTTTAAAGGTACAATGGCACCTCATGTGCGCCCACCATTCCCTCCGTGTCACGGGAAAATATGTGGGTTATTTGTTTATGCCAGACTCTTCCATTATTTGCAGGCTGAGTAGATGGTAAAGTCATTGCTGCTCAGTGATAATGGTGGAAATGGCAGGGGTTTTAAGCCGCCGGCTACTTTTCTGTTGTACCATCATCATCAGGCTCACATATTCGCTTGACATTGTTCGGTTAAGGTAACATGGCAAGCAGCTTATGGTTATGTGACAGTTTCGAAGAATAAAGCAAAGAGGGCAAAAATTCTGGCAATACCAAGGAATACCAAATGGGAGTTTAAGGGGAAATATAAACAAATATTTAAAATAAAATAAATTATCCAAATTTTCAAAATTTTAATTTTCGAAATTTCTCTTCTTTTCCAGATGACGTACCATTTGGCTCTGCTAACCCTGCTGTTAGCATACTCAGCCCAGGGCATACAAAATCAACCGGGACCTAATTATGGACCACCTCAACGTTTTCCCCATCGTGAATATGGCGTGCCTCAAAAAATGCCCTTCCGTGAATATGGCCCACCAGCCCTGAAATATGGTCCTCCCAAATTGAATTTCATTGGTGGCGGCAGTGGCAGCTCTTCATCTTCCTCCTCATCACTGCACGAACAAATTAAAACACATTTCGGTGTACCCAAGCCATTCTATGGCCCACCCCATAAACCGGCCCAACAATATGGTCCACCACCCAAGCAGCAGTATGGCCCACCACCTCCACCAAAACCCCAATATGGTCCACCCAAACCACAATATGGCCCACCACCACCACAGAAAATCCAACATATCCCAGCCTCGGCATATGGTCCACCTAAACCCCAATATGGTCCACCCCCACCACAAGCTTTGCCATTGTTGCAGCCAGGACCTTTGTTCAAACCTCAGCAGCACCAACCAGCCACTTCGTATGGACCACCACCATCGGGACCCCTAAATCAGCCACCCAAGCAATCTTATGGCCCACCTCCCGGTAACTATGGACCACCACCATTGCCCAATTTCCAAAAGATCCAGGAGACCACCATTATTTTGGGTAACAATCACAATGGTCACGGTCATTCTCACCATGGTCAAGCCGGCGGCGCCCAACAACAGGTACAAATCCAAATTGATGCCTCTGGGCATACCCACTCCGTTGCCGGTTCCCAAGCTCCCTTCCATACGGCCTGTGATGGTTGGAAACCCATACCTGCTCCAGCCGGCGCTTACGTGGAAAATAATCACATTGATACTCAATCAGGTTACAGTCAAGTTTCTCAAGGTTTTGGCGGTGGAGCTTCCTCTCAAGGTTTTGGCCATAGTGGCGGCGGAGCTTCCTCCTTCTCTTCGACTCAGTACAGCTCAAATGCAGGTGCTGTAGCAAGTGCCCATGCTGCTGCTGCCGCCGGTGTAGGTGCAAGTGCAGCGGGAGATTCTGCATCGACTTTGACTTTGGGTATCTCTGGATCTGGAGGCGTTGATGATTTGACCGATGAACAATTGGTTGCAGTGGCCCTACAATCGAGTAGCTTCGACAATGACAATAACATTCACCAGGAGATTCTTCCTCAGGCCTTACCGTCCACCGGTCCAGCTGGAGATTTCAATAAACATGGTATCACCCAACTTGAAGCTCAAGCATTAGAGGTGAGTATTATGGGGAGGGTAAAATGAAGTTGAAGTTAGGAGACGGAGAATTAAGAAATACTAATTCTAAAACGAAATCAAACTTGGCTGTACTTTAGGATCGAATGGGGATTTTGAACCTGGCACTTTAAGGAGATATTTGCAAGCCTTTTTTTACCTTTAAAATACCAGCGTTGCCACCTGTTTCAAATTTTCCCCGCATCGAAATTACCTTATAATATTTCCAATATTTTCCTCTATTTCAAGCTCTCTCTCGGTACCGAAGATGATTCCTATAGCAAACCTCCTGCTGACTCCTATGCTCCTGGTTCCATACATGCTGCCAAATTCTCCAGCTCCAGTTCATCCAGCTCATCGGCACACAGTTTTGGAATTTCCGGACCAGGTGGCAACTATGGACCTCCACCACTACCACCCAGGGGCAACTATGGACCACCACCACCAAAGGGTAACTATGGACCTCCACCACCACCACCAAATGGCAACTATGGACCTCCACCACCACCACCAAGTGGCAACTATGGACCTCCACCACCACCACCAAGTGGCAACTATGGACCTCCACCACCACCCTCCGGCCCTGGCGGCAATTATGGCCCTCCCCTACCACCACCATCTGGTCCTGGCGGCAATTATGGTCCTCCACCACCACCTCCCCAAGGCGAATTCGGCTCCTCCGCTGCTTTTGTGCATCATCATGCTGAGGCTGGTCTAGGTATACAATATGGCAAACAATCTGGCAATGTTGGCAATTTCCCACCACCACATGGTGCTCCACCAAGTAAACCAGTTGCATTCCGTCCACCTGTGCCACAAGGCCTAATCGAAACAATTGGCAACACGGTACAGCATTTGGATCAATTCGGGGTAAAACCAAATATCCAGGTACCCACCTATATACCACCAGCAGCCAATGAAATTCCCCAAACTGGACCCGGTAATTTGAACATTGAATATGGAGCACCGCAACAACAACAGCAATTGCCTTTGGCCATAATTGAACAACAATTGCCGGCACAACAGCCAGCTCAAGTATTTGTGCAACAAGGTCAACATCAACAACACCAACACCACCAACATCATCATCATCAGCACCATCATCATGAACAGCAGCAACAACAATTCCAACAACAAAATGTCCACATTGAATACGGTGTACCACCTCCACCCCAACCACAAGGCATTCCCCCACCACCACAATATTTGCCACCTGGACCACCATCAGCCCAAGTCCAACAACAATTTTTGCCACCATTGCCCTCGGGACCTCAACAACAATTTGCCAGTGGATCCGGTGCCGGTGTTTCCTACACATCTAGTGCCCAGGCTGCCTATGAAAATGCTTTCAGTGCCACACAATATAATCATCAAATAGTCCATAGCCAGGCTTTGCCGTCGCAACAAGAACAGCCACGTTTCCACGATTGCGGTCATGGCCCAAATTTGGTGGGCGGTGGAGTTTTCAATTACCAACAACAGCAACAACAACAAGGAGCCTCCACTTCCATATCCCAGAGTATACCCGTTGCCGAACAACACTCACAAATTTTGTCGGGTCCAGCCACCAGCTATGGTCCACCACCCTCGGGCAATAATGAACTCGACCACATTGGTTATGCTTCGCAAAAATCCCAAGTTACAGCCTTGCCAGATGGCACCAATACAAATGGTCTACCTGGTTTGGAGAGCTTAAATGTGCTATCTGCCCAAAAATCCCAATCCATTCACTTCAGCAGCTCCCAAAGCGGAACCACCGGAAGTAATGGCCAAAGTCAAACATATCAAGTACAATTTGGTTCGAATTCCGGTTCAGGATCACAGCACGATGGCATTCTCTCAGCTGACCTCTTACAGACCGTACTCAATGCTGTCGAACAGCCACAGCAACAACATCAACCTTTGCCACCAAATCACAAGGCTGAGGCACGCTCCGACATTGATATTCGTGAAGAATCGGCCGGCATCGAAGAAGACGAACATGAGCCAGATGTGGCCAAGCAGGAATCACAAAAAGTGGAAGTCAAAGTGAAACCGGACGAAAATGAAGAAACCCCAGCTGATGTCACGGAATTGAAACCGATTGTGGTCAAAGAAGAAAATGAAGCTAAGCATTAATGGTGGGTGGGATGTACGCAACCTCCTCATCGAGGAGAAAAGAGTGTCACAATTCTCTTTGGTTTTAGTCACTTAAAGCTTAAGCTCCTCCCCCAGCCCCCCATTTTTACGTTACGCAAAACAAAAGTCTAGTTATGTCGTTGTAGTTAAGTTGTAATTTCTATTTATTGTCATATAATTAAGAAATAAGTTCATAATGTAATGTCTAATTGTTGTATTGCCGTCATCGAACAAAACAAGAACAACAAGAACATTTATATTTATTTCGTATAAACACACACACACACTCATGCATGCTCATATACTGCCACTTAATTAATTTGTTTCAAAAAGAGAAATGGAAAGTTGCAGCTCTTTTTGATGATGCCATAAATTTTTAATTTTTTTTAACAAATAAATAAATTATAATAATCCATCATTCCTTCGCGCCCCTCTTTATAGTCGCTGCATTACACGAGAAACCTCAATAAATTACATAATAAATTGTATGTTATATAACTTTTGTTGTTGTTGTTGTATATTTAGTTGTGTAAATCCTTTGAGTTTACATATCGCAATATACGCTATATTTAATAAAAATTACAAACATTAAAAATAGTGACAACAACAAAACAAATAATAAATTAAATAATGCCATCTATCCCATTGGGGATGGAATTACACGCACAAATACAGAAGCATACACACACACTCTCAAATAGAGAAATAAATTAAAGTCCATAAAGTGTAAAATCAACAAAAATTTATTTTTAATCACGCCCATTTGTATTATATATAAAATATTTATGTATAAAATTAATAATTTATTATAAATAAAATAAAAAAAAAAAATAATGAAAATTTAAAATTATGAAATGTGTCAAATTAATTATGGCGCGAAATGGGGTTGGTCAATATTTGTTGCAAACGTTGTAGGGTTGCAATATTGGATATACACATATTAACACAAGGCAACGTAAAACGTTAAGTTCGGAAAGGACATATTCATCTGAAATAATAGCCACATTAGCTGTCTTAGAAAACTCAAAATTTGGTCATATTCCGAACCGTTAATGAGGAATATGTAAAAATTATGAATGTTTTGCGGGATAGTCTTACACCCAGAAAAAATTGATGTTAAATATTAAATAATTTTTTGAAATATTCGATTTTGGAAGTTTCTTTGACCAAGAATAAATATTTTATCGGCTATCCGACGAATATGAAGCGGGGTTATAAATGGAAAGATAATAGTAGAGTAGTAGAAGTACATTTATACTTAAAAGTGGAACAAATCAAGGCAAACTAGAGTTGATCAACGCAAATGTTAGCAAACTAGAATTTCAAAAATAAATAAAAAAACATATAAAAATCAGTTAAATAATTATTTTGATTCACTCTAACATAGGAGAGCCTTGGAAAAAATTGTTCTAAAATTCTAGAATATTTAAAACAAGTAAAAAAATATTAAGTTCGGCCGGGTCGAACTTTTAATACCCACCGCCATTGGGTAAAAAAATGATTTTATATAAACGTATCTGCAAACCAAAAAAAAAAAAAACATAGAGTGTGTTAGGCCGTTGTATGGGGTCCGTACCAAAAAGAGAACCTCTATAGGCAATTTTATACTTAAATGGCCATAACTCCTTAAATATTGACTTTAGAGCGTTTTAAGCTATTATTTGTGATCACTTTTTAAAGTGTGAATTAATCAATTTTTTAAAATGGAAATAACTCTTTAAATATTAAGTTTTCAGCGTTTTCAGTTATTATTTGTGATCACTTTTTTAAGCGTGAATAATTCAATATTTTAAAATGGCCATAACTCCTTAAATATTGACTTTACAGCGTTTTCAGTTATTATTTGTGATCACTTTTTTTAGTCTGAATTATTGAATATTTTATTATGGCCATAACTCCTTAAGTATTGACTTTAGAGCCAAAAAGAGCGGTTTTACCAACACATGTACCTAAATTAACCCTTTTTAAGAGGGTGGGAACCTACACCTAATATTCGTAAAAAATGAGGTAATAATTTTAAAAATACCAAAAGTTGGTAGATTGCCTTTATAAACTTCAAATAAAAAATGTCACATAATTGGATAAAAAAAAACAAGTACGCAAAGGCCATAGTCATATATTAGAAGCCCCCATATGCCCAAATACATTTTGGAAGATTCCGCTTTTGAAATTATGTCACGAAGCACTGCCCAGATATTACCTTTAGCATTTTGACCAGGGACATTTGCCCAATATTGGCGCACTCCGCAATGTTGTTATTTGTTGTTTTCCATTTTGAAGCTAAATATAATTCAATTGTCATCCAAAATGCTAGAATTCTTCTCTGACCTTAACTCTTTTCTCAGGCGTGTCGATTGGCTTCAATTGTGTGATCAGGAATTTTTTTCTGTTTTTGATTCATATTTTGAAATTATCTCCAAAAGCAAGAGGCCTCTCTCCATCTCAAAATTTAGACTAATCTATATGTTTAGCTTGTCTACGATATTTGGCTATATTCGTCTAAGAAATCAGCATAAAAAAGCCAGAAGTTCGTCATTTGTGTGTTTCTGATATCGCCTGTAAGTAATGTTGGTATTTTTTCACACAATAGTAGTGATCCATTCTACCCGCTGTCCTAAACTCTAACTTCATGCGAGATTTCGTGTCCTTCGCTTTCTATTTGTGACCTTGATAACGGCTGCGAAATCAGGAACATTTTTAGTTGTTGGTCCATTTCAAACGCTAAATATATGGCGGACATATTTAAAAAGAATTGGCCTAGCCCTTCTAACCCCAACCCTACCCCTATGAAAATGTTCATGAGGATCGGACGATAATTACAATATGAATATAATAACCCCAACCTGTGTTGTAAGGTGAAAAAATATTACAAAATAAACACTTCAATATTATGAGTCAAAATGAAAAAAATCGCTTCCGATAAAAAATATGAAAAAAAAAATAAAAAAAAAAAATGTCAGAAAATACTACAAAATCTATATTAACATCATTATTGGCATTTTTATGCGGTTTTTTTTAGATTTTATACTCTTATGCCAAAAGGGCATTCTAGATTGACAAATTTGTCAAAATCGTTCCAGCCATTCTTGAGATATAAGCATTCGAGGTAACATCCCCTTCCTTTGTATATAGATATTGTATATATTTCGCTATATGCATCCGATATAATGGCTATCGGCATCTACGTAACGGTCAGAATAGACCTGTTCATCTATTTGTGATTTCGCCGGGATTAAAAATATTTGCGGTTTAATGGAAAATTTGACTTTTATTTAACACAAATGTTATGGTTTACTTCACCCACTAAATATTTCCCGATGACCAAATCAAAATTGGAAGGCTTCTGCCCAGCCCTAAGCCCTAGCGCCGTGCCAACTCCCTCTTGAATTGGTCTAAAATTGCGACCTGTAGAGCAACTACAAAATCAGGATTTTTTTCAGTTTTTGGTCCATTTCAATATTATGCGATCATCTCCAAATGAAAAAGGGTTCTATTCTGACCGTAGCCCTACCTCCATTCTAAATTTCGTGAAGATCGGGCCATAATTGCGACCTGTAGAGTGATTACAAATTAACATGGACAAACGGACGGACATACATAGCTAGATCAACTCAGCTCGGCGAGATAGGAAGATCCATATATACTTTCCTATGTGGGAAATCAATATTTCGAGGTGTTTCATAATTTATAATACCCCCAACACAAAGTGTTGTAGGGTATAAAAATATGGAAGTCTTAATTTCTTTCCATTCAAATTTAGCAATATCATATACATACATCTGTACCCTTATATCTAATGCCAACTTTACAAGTTATTTAGGAAAAGCCTACTGCTACTGAAGCACTTGAACTTTCCCTACTTTACGTCATTGAATTAAAAATGCATCTCGCGAATGCGGCTTCTTGTGCTGCGGTCACACAAATTGCTTTAATTAATTAATTATATGTGTAGTCACACATAAGCCCATATGCATATTTAGTTATATCCGAAAATTATGTTCCCTATAATCGAATGCGAAACCGCTAATTTTATTAAAATTACCAAATCTACTTATCAATATTTTATCTAGATGACTTCTTCTGTAGACCACAGAACATGGCGGATAATGATACGGCAAAACCATATTTCCTATCGCACAAATACATTCGCATTCGAAGCGTTTTTTTTTTGTTCGAATGGATTTTCGTCTTTTGTTCAAACAAATTAAAGGTAATTTTCAAATAAATATCGTCGTCGCCGTTGTCGTTGCCGTTGCCGTCGAGCTTAGCGCCAACAACGTGCCGAAAATTGTTTGCCGTTTGCATTTGCCAGTTGTGTTGACACAAAAGCTTAAATGCAATCAAGCGCAAAAGTGATTTTTCGAAATTTACCATTGCCAGCCAAGTGGGTTTAAGGTGAAGTATAAGGAGAATTTCAAGGAGAATATATATATGTATAAGAAAATATATAAGTATGTGTGTATACTGCCTTGAGTTGCACAAAACAAACGAGGCATTGAAGACGTCACTTATATAATACCAGATGGCATTAGTTTACGAGAGACCCTGAATGGAGCTAAGCACATAATTGCAGAATCATTTTGGTTGAATTGTGGTAACTGCAAATCTATGATTTTTGCAGAAAATTATTGTTTTTAATCTTAGGATAAATAACAGTCAATTGGTTTGGAAAACCGAGTTGGGTCTTAAATATGGTGAAGGTAATTTTTAGGACAACTCATTTGAATATTTTTATTTTGTCATTTCAATATTAAATAATTTGTTCGCATTGTATTCCCACTAAACAACTATTGCACAATCATAAACAATATTTTTAAACAAAATATTATTTTAAAGCTATACAAATCATAAATTCCGATTTTTTACACATTCATATCAGATTTTTGTCTAGGGAAATATTTAGAGATAGCAAGTTGTATAGAATCGCCGACTTGTTTCGCAATTATGGCAGATATAAGCATTGGAAGTTATGACTCTTTGTGGTTGAGGTACCAGTACGGGTACGGGTTGGTAGATATCTATCATCTTCACAACAGATTTTACGTTAGCAAAAATGTTCAGATGTATGAGATTTGAATAGATTTGGATGCTTATTTCGAGGTTTAGGAGCGTTTTGTTGTTCGAAATGTTAAACTCTTTGAACGAGTGCGTCGATGTTTGGGATGTGTGAAATGTGAAACCGAATGCTTACATCGGATTTTATAATCGTTTTTGTTATTCCAAACTTTGCCCCTTGTGGTGGAGGTACCAGATGGAATATATAATATTGAGATATGATAAGTCTGAATGATATCTAATGTTAATGTCGCGTTTTAGGAGCTTTATGTGCATTCAAAATTTTGACCCTTTGTGTTGGAGGTACCAGAAGCAGTGGACCGATATATCCCATCTTCAAAGCAGATCATGTGCTAATAGAAATAATGGGATGTGTGAAATATTAAGAGAACTGGATTCCTACCTCGGATTTTATAATCGTTTTTGTTATTCGAAACTTTGACCCTTTGTGGAGGAGGTACCAGATGGAATAGTCTGATCTCTACCATCTTTATAAGGGATCTTGTGTTGATAGAAATATTGAGCAGTGCCAAGTCGGATTGGAATCACATGTAAATTTCGAGTCTTAGAGAAGGGGTGGACCAATATATATTCCATCTTCATACCGGACCTTGGGTTAATAAACATATTTTGATATTTGTAATTTAGAGACAACCGGACTCTTATATCACATTTTATAAGAGTTATAATTATTCAAAATGTTGTCCCTCTTGGGGGGAGGTACTTGATTGAGATTCCATTTTCGTACCTGGCCTTATGATTTGCAAAGA